TTCGGAATAGACTGCTGCATCCAATTCAACGCACAGACGAACTGTTGAAGTTCCTGCGCTGTCTTGGGCGGCTGTAGCTCAATCAACCCCGCTAAATGGAGCGGATCATGTGAGATACCAACGGCAGAGATCCTCTTGCCGCACCACACCACATTTTGCGCGTAAAACTCGCACTTCAATGGATTGAATTTGAGGCCAAACGTCTGCGCACGCTCCAGGAGCCACTCCAAGATGTCTAAGAGCTCGGGTTCCGCTGCTGCACTACCCAACACATCATCGAGCCACGCCTCGATCCCTTTGCCATAACGATCTCCACAGATCGTCTGTGCAACGGACTGGCAGTACGCCACGGTGTCAGACTGTCCCATCAACACACGATTGGGCTCCACCATTTCGTCAACCCCCATGATTGTGTATGCCTCTCGACTGGTGGCCTCCAAAGCGAGCTGCCAATAGCCCTTGAACCAATCCAGGGCAAAGAAACACTTCGTCCCGGCCAAACGAGCCATCACAACTTCGAGAACTGGGATAGGCCACTGCATCGGTTCGGTTTGCGAGTTGGGGCCGCGTGTGTCCACGGTCATACGCATAGAGCCGTCCTTTTTGGCAACAATCCGAGGCGGTGAACACCATCGCGAGCGATTTGTGCGTCGAGCTAGACCAGCATCGACTATTGCACCAACATGAGCGCGCAGAAATTCTGTCTGCAAAGGCGAATAACGTCTTGCCTTACTGGTTGTCGGCATTGCGTCTACCTTAAACCGCACTTTCAGCGGTTCCACCGCAATTGGAGGATCCATCTTGAACTCCAAGCGGAAAATATCTTCATACCTCTCCAAAATCATGGCCAAACGTGCGCCACCCTTTTTAGACAAGCCATTGGCGATTGCCTCGACCACCTTGGCTCTCAATACGCCACTGACCGACTGCCCCACGCAGTCATTGTCATCACTGTCGGCATCCATATCACCTTCAGCATCGAGTGAGCCTTCCTTGCCTTCAGAGTGCGACAAATAGCCGATGTATCGTTGTCTAAGACAGAGAGCTCGCTCAAATCGAAGCTCGTTGGGGATTCCGCCGCACTACGGAGGAGACATTTAGTCGAATACCCCAAGATCTTCATCACTGGTCGTCCAATCGTGATGGACGGCGTCAAATCCGTGTGGTTCACCCACGCACTGACGGATTTAAGTACTACAGTCGTGTGACCCACAAGCAAAGCTAACTCAAGGAACACCACGTGCTGGAAAAGCGTCAAAGGGACGCCGCCAAATCCTTCCATGACCTGTGGCGTGTCTAGATCCGACACATGCAGATCCAACGACGATGTCTTCGTCAACCCATTGACTAACCCAGCGACACAAAGGTGCCAGAGTCGCAACCTGAGTCCAATAACGCGGGCACGGGCTCGTCCAAGCCCCCGTCCACCACCACGGCCCAGCAACTGCCGTCCGTCGGCGGCTTGTCCGGCCACTTCAAAGCCTTTGCCTTGGGCTTGGTAAGATCCTTCTTACCAGTCTTCTTGACTTCCTTCACCGGGTCTGTCTTGGAGGCCGAGTCGTCCACAGCTACATCGTCAGCACGCCGATCTTCCTAGTACCTAGCGCGAATAGCACTCTTGTCGGACTCCGACGTCGCGCTGCAATCAGCCAAGTGATGATTCCCTTGGCAGCTCCAATAATTGACTGACTTCCTCGTCGACCCATTGCCGACTGTTTGGTCTAAGCCAGTACCTGGCTGTGTCTACACCTTGGCCTTCACTGTAGGCTCTTCAGGAACCTTCACCAGACCGTTCGACTTCGCGGCACGCGTGAATTCAAGCTGCGCAACCAATTTGATCTAGCAAACTCCATAACTGCAACACAGAGTTGCGGAGATGCTTGTGATCCAACTCCAAGTGATTTTGACCACAGCCTTCAATGCTGGCGGCCGAATTCCTTCAATTAACGCCTTTACCGCGTTCTTAGGATGCTTGACGAAAGACATCATGTTGTTCTTGTCCAGCTGTGCCCTATACGAGTAACCCCACTTGTCAAAATACTTGTCCGGGTACAATTCCATGTCATCCATGACAACCGTCGTGTGGATCTTGGCCTCCAAGTCGCCAAAATCAGGGCTATGGTAATTCAGAGCGTACTGAAAATACTGAGTCCAATCAGCGTTCGTAATCAACGCCACATCCGTTCCAAAGTGCATCATAGCAGCAAAGCTCTTCGCCTTCGCTTCGATACACGTTCCAATCGGTCGGATGCCAATCTTTGTAACAAGCGACACAGTAGCTTCAGCACATTCATTGCAGTACTCGTAATACTG